CGTTTTTCTAATAATAGCTGTATCTGTTGTCAGTACAGTCACACTGGAGATGTCAAGCTAGATCATGATTCTCGGCACATCCAAGCTTCCCGTCTATTTTTTTTTTTTGAGACGGAGTCTCCCTCTTTTGCCCAGGCTGGAGTGCGGTGGCGCGATCTCGGCTCACTGCAAGCTCTGCCTCCCAGGTTCACGCCATTCTCCTGCCTCAGCCTCCCAAGTAGCTGGGATTACAGGTGCACACCACTGTACCCGGCTAATTTTTGTATTCTGTCATGTTGCCCAGGCTAGTCTCGAACTCTTGAGCTCAAGTAAGTGACCTGGCCCACCTCGGCCTCCCAAAGTGCTGGGATTACAGGCTTGAGCCACCGCGCCCGGCCTAATTTTTCATATTTTCAGTGGAGACGGGGTTTCACGGTGTTAGCCAGGATGGTCTCGATGTCCTGACCTCGTGATCCGCCCACCTCAGCCTCCCAAAGTGCTGGGATTACAGGTGCGAGCCACCGCATCCGGCCCATCAAGAGTTGGTAACTTTCTGCCATTTAATCGGGAAGCCCCATATATTTTTATGTTCAGAAAAACAGAACAAAATAAGTATATTAGAAAATGCACGCCACCTCGCCCGGCTAGTTTTTTGTATTTTTTAGTAGAGACGGGGTTTCACCATGTTGCCCAGGATGGTCTCAAATTCCTCAGCTCAAGCAATCTGCCCACCTCAGCTGCCCAAAGTGCTGGGATTAAAGGCGCGAGCCACTACCATGTTGGCCAGGCTGGTCTCAAACTCCTGATCTCAGGTGATCTGCCCACCTCAGCCTCCCAAAGTGCTGGGATTACAGGCGTGAGCCACTGTGTCAGGCCTTTTGTGTATGTACCTTATAACAAACTTGCTATATATTTTTATGTTCAGAAAAACAGAACAAAATAAGTATATTAGAAAATGCAAGTGACTGTACCCAAAGGATAACATAATTCTGGAAAAACACTCAACAGCTGTATTTTAGACAGTAGCAACGGCTCAAAGAAGCAAAGGAGGGCAGAGGAGAACACAGGCCAACGTGAAATGTGATTTAGTAGTTTCACGGGACCAGGCCAGTCCTATTTTTACATGTTCCATGTGCTTCAGGATGGGGAAGGGAATCTTGGCCAAAACATGTCTGCTGAGATACCTATATTCCATATAACCTGCCTGCTGAATTAAACATAAACACGCACATCAAAATAGGCTGACAAATTCTAGATGACCTGATGTGAGAAGATCAAATGAGCTAAGCACGTGTAGTTCAGTGAAGCCACATTTAATATTCATCTGTCTATAAAAACTTGGTTTAGCTAACACCTGGTTTCCTCTCTCTCAAGAGAGCTAATCAAAAAAATTAAGAAAAGTATAATGAATGGATTGAGTCAAAAAACATTTTCTGCTAAAATGAAGATCATAAAATAGAAAGACTGCAAATGCCGTTTTTCTAATAATAGCTGTATCTGTTGTCAGTACAGTCACACTGGAGATGTCAAGCTAGATCATGATTCTCGGCACATCCAAGCTTCCCGTCTATTTTTTTTTTTTGAGACGGAGTCTCCCTCTTTTGCCCAGGCTGGAGTGCGGTGGCGCGATCTCGGCTCACTGCAAGCTCTGCCTCCCAGGTTCACGCCATTCTCCTGCCTCAGCCTCCCAAGTAGCTGGGACTACAGGCGCCGCCACCACGCCCGGATAGTTTTTTGTATTTTTAGTAGAGACGGGGTTTCACCGTGTTAGCCAGGATGGTTTCGATTTCCTGACCTCGTGATTCCCCCGTCTCGGCCTCCCAAAGTGCTGGGATTACAGGCTTGAGCCACCGCGCCCGGCCTAATTTTTCATATTTTCAGTGGAGACGGGGTTTCACGGTGTTAGCCAGGATGGTCTCGATGTCCTGACCTCGTGATCCGCCCACCTCAGCCTCCCAAAGTGCTGGGATTACAGGTGCGAGCCACCGCATCCGGCCCCCATCTATCTTAAGTAGTGTTATGTGTAGGCTCCAGTTCAGGAAAGCAGGGCTGAGCCAGCTGGTCTGTGTTTAGAGGTGGCCCCTTGAGGTCTGGCCACCTGATCAAAGGACGGGCAATATGTAGGCTGGCAGCTGCTGGTACAGTGTCGGGTGGAAGGCTGCACTGGGCTGGGTTCGTCTCGGCAATTTAGAAGAAATGGGAAATTTTTGTCAATTGGAAAAGAAGACAAGAGAGTAGCTGAGTGAGTTAAGGGTCTGATACCTGGCCGGGCGTGCTGGCTCACGCTTGTAGTCCCAGCACTTTGGGAGGTCGAGGCAGGTGGATCACCTGAGGTCAGGAGTTCAAGACCAGCCTGGCCAACATGGTAAAACCCCATCTCTACTAAAAATACAAAAATTAGCTGGGCGTGGTGGTGCATGACTGTAATCCCAGCTACTCGGGAGGCTGGGGCAGGAGAATCGCTTGCATCCGGCAGACGGAGGTTGCAGTGAGCTGAGATCGCGCCACTGCACTCCAGCCTGGGTGATAGGGCAACACTCCATCTCAGAAAAAAAAAAGAAAAAAAAAGAGTTTGATACCTTACTCAACTACTGGGACTCTGCTTTCTGCAGTCTGGTTTGACTATTATTTCTGCCCTCCCTAAGGAGAAACTATATAGCTTTCTCTGGAATCTTGTGCATGTATTTTTTTTTTTTTCTTAAGACAGGGTTTCACCCAGGCTGGAGTGCAGTGGTGCGATCATGGCTCACTGCAACCTCTGCCCCTGGGCTGAAGTGATTCTCCTGCCTCAGCCTCCCAGGTTTAAGCAATTCTCCTGCCTCAGCCTCCCAAGTAGCTGGGATTACAGGTGCACACCACTGTACCCGGCTAATTTTTGTATTCTGTCATGTTGCCCAGGCTAGTCTCGAACTCTTGAGCTCAAGTAAGTGACCTGGCCCACCTCTCTTACACTTTCTGCATGCTCTCTTCCTTGTTCTTCTAAGTATGACTGATTCACACTTCATCATTGGTAAACCTCAGATTCGATTAGATTACTACTCTTTCATGCCTCCTTACAATCATCCTGACAGAATCTTGGGTCACTTTCTATTTTGATAAGGACTGTAGGTCCACATGTATCCACAGTTGGAAATTCTCATTTCTTGTAGGAATTGGCAATTCTTGCTCTGAGTGGGATGAGAAATTTCCCTGGCGCCCTTATGATTTCCTGATAAGAAATGCTTTGATTTCACATCTGCTTGCGCCCCTGGATGACACCCATTTTTATTCGAAGTACTTTACAAGTCCCTACATGTTGGCCTTGCAACACACACGATGACCCCTCTTTCCTCTGACCTGATATTCACTCAGCTCATTTCAGTCACATGGCCATTTGTACACTTATTTTTTACTCTCATGATACTAACCTTTTGCTCATGGTGAGCCTGGATGACATTTCAATTAACAGAAATATTCAATAGAGTAGTTCCAGAACCATATGTCAACACAAAATTTTAAATTTTCGCCTCTTGGGGCCTACTCAATTCATCTTTTCTCAGTGCTTCCTTGCAACCTGAATTCTAAACTTCTTCCAGCAAATTCTGCAATAGCTCCAGAGAGCGAGGCGGGCGCCCCCCGGCAGAGAAACGCATTCCGGTCTCCGTAAGCCTTGCCCGTCTTTGAGGCTTCAGTTTTTGTTGAGCCTTCCACAGAATAAATCTAACTCTGTTATACCTGTCCCGCTTTGACGCGTACAATGTCCTAGACCCTGTGCGCTGTCCGATGGTCTCTCTCATTAGCCATG